TGAGCTTGCTGATGTTTACAATCTCCTACAATAGGCAGCTAGTTCTGTATTCCTAGCTTCCTTGGTCCGTTCCCATTATCCTCGACCATTATTCTTATTCGTACAGTATCATATCCAGCCATCCTCATTAACTACCAAACACTCTCTTATCGTCTCAAATTGCTCGCCAACCCAGCAGCCTGTTCCTTGAGTCTATCCCACGAGCCCCTTTTGTCAGAAGAATAACCTGAGTCTCCACCACCACCACTACCTGTAGTACTCGTAGAAGCAGTGGCTTTCTCAAGCGAATTAATCTCCCGCTTGAGAACATCGACCTGGAACTTGCGAAACGCGTTCTCGATGCGAATCCTACTGTCCGGGTCTTTGGAGATTGTTCGAGTGGCGGACGCGGTTCCTGTTAGGAAACCCGTCTCGCCACCTAGGAACAGGCCGCCCAAGGAGAACGCGCCGAAGGTGGCGGCGTCGCCCCAGCCTGTTGGGCGGATGAATGGGTCCAGGTCGGGGACTGCTTCTGTTTCAAGGATGAAGGGGGTCAGCTGGAGGTTGTCCATCGCATAACTATTTTTGTTTTAGAGGTGAAATGTGTTGGGAGAGGGGAATGTAAATGCGTGGGGGCTCCGTTAAGCTTTGTGCGAGGGAAAATTAGCAGCTAAGGGGATATGATGTTGCTGAGAGCTCAGGTCTAGTCTTGTGTGAGGGAAGTACAACGATTCAGTGGCATAGTTCAGTTTCGGTGCGAAATATGAGTGAAAACGGCGGCTTAAGGGAGTTGCATAACAAAACAAAAAGAGGATTTACAGGTGATAGTATAAAGCAAAAGGAAAAGGAAAGGAAGTGAACTCAGGAACTTACCCCGTCGCCCATTAGCAAAAATAACTTCCGTAGGCCGCAGCGCAGTTTGGAAAGCGTTATACAGCGCGATCCGGTTCGCGCGGATGCGCCAGGCCATAGCGAGCCCGAGACCCATCCCGATAAGGGAGCCGACGGTTGCATGCGTGGATACCTTGCGCGCGGCGGACTTGAGGAGGTCACGGTCTTTGGATTCTAGGTCTTGCTTCAGGTGGGCTTCGCCTATTTTGGCTAAGTCGCCTGTTGGGTGGGCGCGGAAGACGGCGAACATTCTGTCTGTCTTTGTGTTTCGTGATATATGGACGGGTATGGATTGGGGCTTAGTTGGTGTACGGATGTATGGTCAAGGGTTAAGTAATTAATGGAAGTCAGGTCGGTCAGGTGTGGTATTGTCTAGTTAACTGAGCAAGGATTGTAACATGTGCTATTTGGCTGTGGCCAGATTGAAGCTGTTTCTACTTTTTGGCGAACGGTCACATCGTCGTCATGCATGCTTCAGAGGTGGCTGTCGTCAGACAGGAGGCCAGGTTCGCTTTCCGTTGTGAAGTGGGGATGCCCCTCATCAATCAGCGCATATAACGTCATTACTCCGTCCGTTCCATGTGATACACACACCTCGTCCGTATTGTTACAAACTACCTAATCCAGGCGCCTCTTTGTTTATATTATTATTACACATACCGCGGAATCGCTATCCAAGTCATTGTCCCGCCACGTTGTTAGCAGTGGTAGTGTCCTTCCACGCCTTCGCAATGGCACTCCAATACTGCTCAGGGTACTGCCGCATATGGCCCACATGCGGCGTCCCCTCAAAGATCTCCGCCGACACCACATAACCCTTCGCCTTCGCGTCTGCCGCGTGGAATTCGATGTCCTCCCAGTGGATGATGTCGTCTTCCTTGGAGTACAAGTACAGCCGCTGCGCCCTGATGTCACTGAGGGAGGGGTCGTTCACCACCGCGGTGCTGTACTCGGCCGTGCTGATCTGGCCGGGGATCAACCACACGGCTAAATGGGAGAGACCCAGAAAGCTGGCCGCCAACGCCTGGGTGACGACAAACGGCCAGGGAAGGTACGCTGCGACTCCCAAGGCCATGGCGCGCGACCACCGCGCGATGTTGGGGAAGAAGTGGTGGGATCCCGGGGTCGAGTCGAGGACGAGCATCTGGTGCGGGAACTGGGAGGAGGGATAATGTTCGTTGAAGGCGTGTAGCGTGGCAGCGCAGCTTATCCCGCCTGTGTTGGACATTACGTGGACTAACACCCGCTCCTCTGTGTTCTTCTCCTCCGTGCTGTCCCCAGCCTGTTGTATGCTCGCCCCACCGTGGACGGCTTCGACGACAGGCTTCATGTCGCGCGACCGGATCGAGAGGGGCTGGTACAGGGCCGGCAAGATGGGCGAGAAGACGAGCACCTGCTTCGCGTGTGGGAACAACCGCTTGTAGCCGTCGACATACTTGGCGACGTGTTTGGGCTGGGCGTCGCCCCAGCCGTAGATGAGGACTGTGGTGGGATCGGTCGGGTTCGCGTCTGTGACGGGAGTGTCGACTTCTTGGACGTGGACGCGCTTGCTCAGGGGCTTAAAGCCCGGCAGGCCGGCGGCAGGACGTGGTTTGACTATCGGCTCGGACATTGTGGCTACGGAGGGAGGGGCTAGGATGGGGCGGTTGTCTTAGGCTGGCTTTCTTCGCGAACAATGGGTTGCTGTCGGAAGAGTGCTGCTGCTGGAGTTCTCGAACCTCAGAAAGAATCTGAGGAGAAAGACGAAGGATGCTCCATCGTGGAGAGCCATGGCTGCTGCAGATGTTATTCTTGTGTCAAGGAACCCCTGGCCGGGCCCATCAGGGCGAATCCCCTAGCCCCCATTCCCAGAAACGCTCAACGATATCTGTCGCAGCGGTGCGACTGCAGACCGTTGGGGCGGAGCGGGTTGCTGAACAGGGCTGAAGATGGGTCCGCGCATCGGAGAATTGCCTGCTTCGAGAACATGACAGAGACGAGTTGTGGCAGGTGAAAGGCCCAGGAAAACGATTTGGGTGGTTGTTGACGGCGGGCTGGCAGGCCTGGAGCTGGGGGGGGGGATGAAATGGGGTTGCAATCTGGACCTGCCAAGCCGAGGGGTCTTCAAATAACAAATGCCCCACATTGTGCCTGTGCCGAGGTAAGTGGGGAGGGGAATTCGTCCCTAGAATTTGTCCCTGAACATCGCCGGAAAAGAATCACTTCCTTCCAAATCAGTTCGATTTAAAAAATGCAGGACAAGTTCTCTAGGTAACACGGTGAAACATGATGCCCCCTACGCCTTTTCCGCCTTCTCCAACTCGAGTATCTTTTTCGCCGTATCCGCCATCGTCTCTTCGACACTCCTGAACTTCAATCCCAGCAGCTCGTTATCCGCCTCAGCTTCAATCCGCGCAGGCGTGATCTTGGCGTCCTCCCCACTCTCAGCCGGCAGCCGTCCCGCCAGCTCGGGCACCTTGGCAAGCGCGTGCACCAGCGCCGTGTACGACATGGGCTTGCCGTTGATCAGCAGCCTCTTGTTTGCGGCTGCTGGTGTCGTTAGCGCCTTGACGTGCGCATCCGCCAGATCGCGCACGTCGACGAACGAGGGAAATGTCGTCGCGGGGATGGTTTCGTTGGTGCCACTGAAGAAGCTGTAGATGACGTTGATGCTGTAGTTGAGAGACGCGAGACCCTTGGGCAGGGGTTGGAGAGGTGGGCCAAAGATCAACGCGGGCAGGAACACGGTCACGTAGAAGTGGGGGTTCTCGTTCTTGACGAAGTCCCAGAGCGCAAGTTCGCCTTCCTTCTTGCCGCTGCAGTAGGAGACGTAGTTGTTGTTGGCCTCGCGGGCTTGTTCGCGGGTGATGGGCAGCCAGGTCTCGTTGGTGAGTGGGCCGGCTAGAAGTTCCTCGGGAGAGCCTGTCGTCGAGGCGTTGATGGAGCCAGTGACGGCGATCGACTTGACTGTTGGGGCGGAGCGTTTGGCGGACCGGAGGAGGGCCAGGTTGCTGTAAGCTGGTTAGTATTTGCCCATCCATTGCCTCGCTGACAGGTGACCTACTTCTCAACATTGGGTGTCAGGAAATCACGATCGTAGTCGGTTTCGCCTGGGATATCGACCAAAGGGGCAGCAACGTGCACGACCTGTAGCAAAACGTTAGATGACTGATGGCTAGTTTAGCGCATGAGAAGTCGCCACTTACATGGTCGAAGTGGTACTTTCCAAAGACTTGATCCCAGACACTCTCGTCGGTGTAGTTCTTGACCACGATGAGCTCGAGCTTATCTTTCCACTCTGGGTGGAGGGTCAAAATGTCGCCGACGAGGTTCTCTCGCCGGACAGTGCCAACCACGTCGTGGCCAGCATCGATGAGAGAGTTGATAACGTGGGCTCCGACAAAGGAGTTGGCTCCAGTAAGAAGAGTGCGAGGCATTGTGATTTTTGCTTGTGGCTCTTTTTCCGAATTGTGAATTGTTGGACTGGTTTGTTGTGCTGAGAAGCTGAGGCTTGTTTGTCTATCTCTATTGAAATCCTCCTTTCATTCCTGGGCATACTTCGTGCTTAAATACTCAATCGTAAAGCACATCATATTGCAATGAATCCCTATATTTACACCCCATTAATATCTACAACAGTAGTTAGGTAAGCTAGTGTTTCCTTTGACAGCGCTCGTGTGTCGTGATTTCTTAGTCATTTGCTCGGTCAGCTCGACGCTGCATGCGGATTACTGATGACCCCTCATTATGTCACCTCTTCACACTGTAACTTCAGAGCGGAATGACCGTCGCTGATGTAACTGCCACCCCTGGAGCGGCAGCTGGTGTATCTTCTTTTGCCGGCCGGCAGCGGGCTGGAGCGGTGAAGCAGCAACCTTTGCTTGCCAGCCGAGCTCTGGCATAAATGAGAGACGTATCAAGTGATCGATGTCAATGCAATAGAGTGCTACCTCCTGAATCGGTCTGGCTCGCATGGAAACTGAAATCTTGTCCATCAATTGCACGATTCGAAGCTAGGAAATTATAGCTAAACGAGTTACATAGAGAAACGGCACCCATGTCAAGTTTCTCAAAAGATTGACCTGGATGGTGGAGCACACCCCATAATGGGCAATTCAAGACCCGTCTTACATCAATCCTCATTGGTAACAGGGCTAATGGTCTAGTGGTATGATTTTCGCTTCGCATTGTTAAGATGCCGCCTGTGAAAGGTCCCCGGTTCAATCCCGGGTTAGTCCAGATTTTTGTCATTTCCTCTTCAAACAATCATCTCTAGTGCATGCACGCACGAGACTCAGTCATGGTTTTTGCTAGGTAACTGATTAACCGTCTTTCTTGTTCCGAGGATTTTGGCCTCTCGCAAGCTATCATTGAATCTTCCTTGCTCATGATGTTTGTTTCTCTCTTTGCGTACCGGCTATCGTAGCCCCTAAAACCCCACTTCAAGCCGAGGTCCAGTGATTAGTCGTCGCATTTAGCTCGTACAGGCGTTGCCAGCTGCTTACCTACTTTCAACTTCTTAAGCAGACCCAGTGAGATATCTCTTCAATAACAAACATCTTCATATCAACAACATGGCGTCCATTACAAACCCCACACGGCCCTCATTTGCTGACGCCACCAAGGTCGAGAGACTAGACTCACACACGTACAGGGCGAACCTCCACGATGCCTATTGTATCGGCACTGGTCTGTGGAGCTGGTTTCTTGAATGATCCATATAGAAACTGACAGCTGGACAGTTCCCAACGGAGGCTATGTGTCGTCGTGTCTCCTCCAAGCAGCCAGCACGCACCTCGCCGCTCGAGGACAGAAGGAGGCCTTGACAGCGCATTTCGAGTTCCTCACGCGCACCGAGGTCGGTCCCGCCGTCATCGTGATCGAGGACATCAAACCAGGCCGCCAGCTGTCAACCATCCACCTCACACTGTACCAGCATGATCTCATCCCCCACGCGCCGTGGACAACGCCTGGCTCGTCGCGCCGCGAGATCGTGGCCTACATGACCATGACGAACCTCCAAAATGAACGCGGCATGTCTCTTCCGACGGCCTTTTCTCTCGTGTCTCCACCACCCCCTCCTCCCAACTTCGCCGCCCTTTTATCCGGCCGCGACGACGACACCAACTGGCAGCCCCTGACGTTCGGATCTGGCCGCCCAGTCGAATACGCGCGCTGCGTGCAAAACTGCGCCTTTTACGCTCCGCGCTTCCCCTCTCAGAAGAAGGGAATCCTCGACATATGGGTGCGCCTCGCATCAGGCGAAGGCTTCACCAACGGATCGTTAGGTTTTGTAGCTGATTGCTGGCCCTACGTGGTGGAATCGTACCGTCCGACCGAGGGCACTGTCCCGTTCGCGCACAACCAAATCTTTTGGTATCCCACGATCGTGTTAAACCTCGAACAGAAAAAGGCGCTCCCCAAAGAAGGGGTAAAGTGGCTGCAGCTTCGGATCGAGGCGAAACAGATCAAGAATGGAAGGTTAGATTTGGAGGTTGTAGTCCTTGATAAAGAAGGGGAGTTGGTCGCGCTGAGCCAGCATGTTAATCTCATTCTCGGGGCGGAGAGGAATGTGGCTGAGCGGAAGACGAAGAAGAGTCATATATAAGCGCGTGTATCTTCATATCTTGGACTATCTGTTTGCTACCTACCTTTACTCGTATCAAGGATATCTTGTCCTGGCCATTGGTTTGGGACCTTAGTCTTTTAGACTCCCCGGGCCACTGATGTCACTGGAATTAACACCCGTGGTTTTTATTCTCAATACAGTCTTTGTCCTGAGGTATTAACTCCCCCTCCTGAACAATTCTCATCACCCCCGTGCAGTTTGCGACTGATTTGATCGAGGTGGGTGGGCTGCGTCATAGCAGCACAAGATAATCTCTTCTTTCCCAAGGGGGGTGGCTGAGCCCACTGGCAACATGCAAGCCCCCGGCGCGTTGGACGCTTATAAGCCAATGGGTCACGGACTTTTCTCCGGCAGCTAGTATTATTCCGACGCTATCATCAATTTGAGTAGCGCATTCGGCAAAACCCCATGCGACAACATGCGTTCAGCTGCACGGCAATCCATGACGATGGCGTTGGCTTTTGCTCCCCCCTGGCACAACTCGTATCTCTCCTGGACTGTGCATGCTACTATCGTACTTATCTACGCCTCTGCCACCGTGTGGTTGATTGAACCATGGTAGGAAGTGATGTGGTTGGCTGAGTGGCGCCAAGAAGTTTGATGTCTGTTGGTTCTGATTTTGGACGATGTCCGAATCGGCCAGTGATGCGCAAGTGAACGCGCGTCAGGGGGAGGACAGGGCAAACAAGGAGGCCGGCGGGGGCTCCATTGCAAAGGGCTTTCTTGTTAAGAGCCCAGACGCACGCATATTGACCTGTTGCATTAAGAACTCTTATTTTCATCAACTTACTTCTCGGCCCCTCCATTTCGTTGACCGATTCTTTCGGAAACTACTGAACAACATCTCAACAAGACTGAAAGACAATACAACGAGGAAAGACAATACAACGAGGAAAGAAAATGGTGAAAGACCGAACTTTGCGGCTCATCGCCGCCGCCGCGTTCGTGTTTGGCTTTCCAGTCTGCCTCTCCCATGCCATCATGTCGCGGATGCCCACGCCTGGCGTCGGCTTGATCCCCCTCCTCGTGTCTACAGTGGTGTGCATCTTCCTCGCCATCCGCTCCAGGCCCAAGAAGGACCAATTCGTCCATGAGCATGTTCACCACCGCGGCATCTCGCATCACCACCATGGCCATGGCCGAGAGGTGGCTGCAGGCCTAACTCGTTCACTATCATCCTCGTCCCTGGAATCGATGGCCGACGACATCGTCCCTCATGACGACAACGACGACGACAACAAAACCCCAAAGACAGGCTTACGACATCCCCTCCTCGTCTTCATCGTCGACACCCTCCTCGCCACGGCCGACATGGTGGTCCTGGTCATCACGTGGATCCGCATCACCGACTACCGCGAGGGCGCCTACTCGTTAGGTCAGTACGGCTGGAGCTTGCCCTGGCCCGCCAAGGTTTCCCTCCTGCCCATGCTCGCAGCGTATGCTACTATCCCTCTGATGGTCAACTTGTATGCATTCCTTTTTTTCTTTCCTTTCCCAGATCCTACCACATAGACAATACCTGTACTGAGACCAGTATCCAAGCTTCATCCACACCTTCTTTGCCACCCGAGCCTTTTTCAGGTTCCTGGTCAAACTAGGCCTACCCACGCCACCGGAATGGACCCCCGTCCCCACAAACTGCCCCCACTGCGGTGAACTCGTCCACTCGGGCGGGCCGACTCCTCCTCTGCATGCACAAGCGCCAATTGCTAGCCACCACCGCCAGCCGAAATGGTTGTCCGCGAAAAACGGCCCAGGCGTCGCCAAGGTCACCGGCAACAAAGGAGGTCATCATCCTTCGTCTTACTACCGTGACACTGCTCCTCTGTTGGGTGGGCCTGGTCATGGTGCTGGTGCTACGCCTGAGTATAGAGAGAGTGCCGGAGGCGAGTATTATCGCGATGAGATTCTCCCCACTATCCGGCCGGTGAATGGTACGCCTGCACCTGGTCCCGAGGTGGCTCAGGTTGAGGCGGGGCAGGGTGGGAATGGGCCTGCTGCTCCTGCTGCTTGAGAGTACCTAACCTACATGTATAACACCATAGCGTGAGGCTGTTTATGACGAGGTGGTTGTTGAGAAGTGAAGTCTCGAGCGAGAAAGAGTGGCACGGGGGTGGGTGCCAGTTGTGGTATAGTGATTTGCCGGAGATAAATCGCTTGGGGATCAGCTGGTTGGGATCAGTTTGTCAGTGTGTCTTTGTTGCGTTCTTGATTTATTCACTATCAGCGGTCTGTTTTGTTTCGCCCCGTGTTTGCTTAATGCCTCACGTTTTAGAGCTAAACTGCTACACCTGCAATGGCATAGAGAGTTGTCATGCCTAGGTTATGACCAAAGTCCTGCAAGTTTCGGATTAGAACATAGACCTCTTGTTCCAGTATTTACCGATCCTTTTCGCAAACTAAGCCTGCAATTCGCCGAGAATTTGACCATGGCAAGGTATTAAGCTACTAGGGACTCGCTGCATTTTATTTGCGGTTCCCAAAAACAGCCATTCTTGAACTGAGGTTCAAGTTGAAGACTTCCACATACACGTGTTAGTAACACCTTACTAGTATCAGCAAATTAATGGCAACTGTCTCTAGCTCCTCGATACTAGTGTTGCTTGAAGCCCAATCCGGGTCTTCTTGGCGTCAGAACCGGTCATCATTTTATCCCCCGAGTAGGATGCAACCCCCCTACATAATCACCCGAAAACGGTATGGTATCAAGAGCACCCCCGCTCTGACATCTTCAACTTTCAATTTCAGTATCGACCAAATCCTCTCATAAAACATCAACAAAACCGCTTGATCTCTCAGAGAGCGTGTAGGACATCGCTGTCACACATCACGATGGACACTATCCTGAAGCTCGTGGGCGCAGCTACGCTAGCCGTGCTCAGCTACAAATTCATCGATGCAGCATCCCTGTGGCTGCTACCACCCATCTCCCTGTCCCGCTATCAACAACGCAGCTCGGCCGGTAAACCAACATCCTGGGCCCTCATCACCGGCGCATCAGCGGGCATCGGCCTCGGCTGCGCAGTTGAGCTCGCCCTCCGCGGATTCAGCGTCATCTTGCTCGGGCACAAACCGTCCGAGCTGGAAGAAGCCAAAGCTTCCATCCTGGCAGAAGCCTCAGTCGAAGTCAAGCTCCTCGTCCTCGATGCAACCCGCGCCAGCGCATCAGAAATCGACGCGGCGCTCGACTCCATCTCCCACCTCCCGCTTGGAGTTCTGGTCAACAACCTGGGCGGCATGGTCGTCGATCCCAAAAAGGGCTGGCTACACGCGGTCGATGAGTTCTCGGGCCAAGAACTCGACGACTCCCTGGCTCTGAGCGCGCGGTTCATGATGCAGGCCTCGCGGAAACTCATCCCCTCGCTCAAACAACACGCCCTCGAGGGCACAAGGACCAGGTCGCTCATCATCAACATCTCGAGCTTCGCGCACGTCGGCATGCCCCTACTAGCTACTTACTCAGGCTGCAAGGGCTTTATCAACGCATTCACCACTTCAATGGCTCGCGATTTTATATCCAAGGGGGTCAATGTCGACGCTATTGTCATTGTCCCGGGTGACGTGCGCTCGCAGTCCAACACAACTGCCCCGCCAAGTGCACCCGACGGGC